GCACTCTAAAAGCTACAGTCTTTCAAAACTATCTCCCCTTACTCATTCAATCTCTTTGTTCAACCAAGTGCGTAAAACATGTATATACCAAGTGCGTAAAACATGTATGGAAAAGTATTAAAAAGCACAGCCTACTCTGTGACTATAGGGAGTTACCAGTCTGGGCTGACAGGATCCTCTGCTAGATTGTTGACTCCTTAAAGGCAGGCTCCAAGATCTACAGGTCTTTATTTCCCCACTGAGCTAGGGCCCAGCATATGTGAACAGTCATTATTAAGGGATTTGTGGATAAACCTTGGCCTATGCTAAGCAAAGTTGTAAATCTGAAGACCTGAGATAAGTCCAACCTTAAATATTTATTGTCTGGATGGTCTTGGGCCTCAGTTTCCCCAGGTAAGAAGAAGACAATACTAAGGACAACCTCACTGATCTAGTGTTTACTGATTAACTGGGAGAATATATATCATTGTTTTTTAGATTTCATTCAGGGTAAAAGCCAAGTCCATACAAAGTCCATGCAAAGAGGATATGATCTGCAGCAGCCCTGGCCCCAGTCACCTCTGACCTCTCACACCCTATTGCTACAGATGTGTTCTTGCTGCTCCTGCTTTTCCTAGAATGCTCACAGCTCTTTCCCATTTCAAAGCCATGGTCCTTGCTGTTGCTTCTGCAGGCAATGTCTTCCCCCTAGACATCCCCATGGCAACCTCACAAGTGTCATCCTCTCACTGAGACTAAAACCAACCACCCCATTTACACTTGTAACTTACTACCTCCATTTCTCATCCTCTGATACCCTCTACTCTGACCTATTTCTTTTCCCATAGCATTTATCCTATTCTAACTTACCATATCATTTATCATGTCTGTTATTTGTCTACCCTCACTGGCCTCACTGAAAGTACCTTACAGGCAGACTTTTCCTTATTTTATTCACTGCACAGCATGTGGTAGGCACTCAACTAGTGTTTGTTAACTGAATGAGTAAATGAATGAAAGTAAGTTGCAAAGCATGGAAACAGTGGCCAGGCTGTCTATTTCCTGTATAGTGGATGCTTCTCTGGGCAGGAGCTGGGATGTGGCGCTTAGCACATGGCAGAAGCACAACTGTCATGTGAAGAGTGGATCACATGAACAGCGGGCTCAGGCCACAGGTACCCCATGAAGTGGCTGGCGCAGTTCTCAGTGCCTCTCCTTAGTCCTTTGAAAAGAAGAACTTAAGGGAGGTTTTAAAAATGAATATTTCCAATTTCCCCCAAATAAGAAAGATTCTTCTTGTCTGGCCTCACTACTGCAACTTAATCCATGGGCATGATTCTTTTCAAATATTATCTTCTGCCTGGTTAATGTATTTGTTTCTTTTCATAAACACCCTACTTTATACTGGACATTAATCTAACCACTTAGACATGATTAGCAAGCTAAGGGTCTTACTTATTAAAAACAGTTAATTTTCCCTTCTTAAAAACATTGAGACATTTGAATCCCTGAATATGCTCATTTATCACCAACCCCCAACAAGGCATTCAGGAGTTCTCCATGTAGGACATGAATAATTTTTATAAAAACGCAGTTGCTGACTGTGTCGTACATCCACGCAGCTTTATAAAACAAAGCAAATGATTACCATCAATTACAATAACCTCACTAGACAAGACGGCAATTAATCTAAGCTCTTCAGATAACGACTGTTGCACTGTGCCAAGGAAAATGCCGGAGTTAATGGACTTATCACGATCAGCAATGATAGATGGGGCAGATGGCAATGTGATTATTCATTGTCAACAAAATAAACACATGCTTTGTTGCTTGAAGGGTTTACCTGGGTCCTCTCAGTGGATAGCCAAAAACAAAGGCCAAAGGTGGCCATGGAGATAGCACAAAATACAAATACAATGTTAACCTACAGGATGGGATATATTTACTTTAACTGGGGCTAATCATCAGTGGAATCGGATTGGAGAACATTTTCTTTAAGGAAATCATGGACTGTGTAGAATGTCAGCATCAGAAGGCGCATTAAAGCTAAAAGGATGTGAGTCACTTTTATGAAGTTCTCAAATTCCATTCCATGCTTAATAATTCCGGTGATGGGAATTCGCTAGTGTCAGAGGTAAACTCATTCCATTGATTGATAGTCCTCATACTTAGAACATATATTCAGCCAAATCCATTTTCCTGGAATTTTCACCCATTGACTCTAGTTCTTTCCCTCATACCACAAAGAAGATGCCAAACTCTTCTTGCTCACGACAGCCCTTTAGATCTCTCGAAGGCCAAATGCCTATCCAACTGCTTTCCATATGACATTGTTTTGGTTCTTCCAACATCCTGATTTCTGGCACCTAAACCGACACCAGTTTATAGACCAGCCATACACAGACCACTCATACTGAGATGGAGGGGCTCGGAAAGAAATGGGATACAGCCCATGTGGTCTACCGAGGGCAAGGTCTAACTGTACTCTGCTGAGGCTGATGCTCAAGGTTGCCTTGGATCAATGGATGTGTGTGTGGCTACTACCATGATTGGGAAGCAGTTCTCCAAATCCCACCAGTCTAGAAAGCACATGGCTTTGCTATTTCCAGAGGGCAATTACCTCTGGGCGCTCCTTTTTCATTTTTTGTGCTGTATGGCTTTCTTAAGTCCTCATTGTTTACAAAACTGGGACAATTTAGATGGAGCCTGAGCTGAAATTGGCACAGTGGTCACTAACCGAAATCTCTTGGGGGAATTTGTACAAATGTGCACACCTGGACCCCACTCCTGGAGACTGATTCAGTTGCCATGGGAGAAGAACTCAAATGTAAATATTTTGACAATGATTCCCAGTTAATGCTGATTTGCAAATGCTTTCTTCATTGAGAAAGCTTAAGAATACACTATTGAGGGAGTGCTTCACAAATATCAGACTCTCCTGGGAACTTTTAAAATACAATTCCCTGGAGTGTCTGATACCTGTGGTCTGGGGTAGGTCTAGGAAAATGAACACATTGACAGATCAAATTGTTATATGCTTTCCTTAAGGATTTTGGAAGCATTCATTTACTCCAAAATTGTAGTTCATATATCAATTACAGAGCCCCCTTATTATATACTGAAGAAACAAGCTACTCTAAGGAATTCTACAATGTAAAGATTTTAGCCAAATAAACATCTATATTTTTTCATTCATTCTTTGAATAAATTCTTTAATAAATTCATCTTTACTCTGAGGGAATCTTGTGATAGGCACTGGAATGTAACAGTACAGTGAGGGAGGGAAAAAAAAGAAATAACAGCACAAAAAATAAATGAACAAGTAACTCAACAAATAAAATGATCAGAACTCTTAAAATAACATGTGTTTTTAAAAGGATGAGTTTATCTAAATTTGAATATTTTCTAATTCAGATTGGCAGTCTCCAGTCATTCTTAATTCATGAGTTGTTGCCCTACTCTAGTTTAAGATCTGCAACTAGGGATTTTCGCATTACAGTGCCTTTGGCAGACATCTCTAATCAATCCTAGAATTTCTGCTACACATTCTGGAAGGAGACCCATATTCCTGCTCAACCCTGTCTTCTATGCAGCCATTACTAACTGAAGATGTATGAAATCTGTGCCTTTGTTGTCCCTCATTTCTTGCTTTATCTTTGTTGTCTATGAACCTTTGAGTACCCGTGCTCCTCACATTTGGAACCCCTGTTAATTTTCAAAGTAACCTGGAGAGCTATCTAACCCAGCCTTAGAAAGATCAAATAGCCATGTCAAGATCACACAATTAGTGTGTATCAAAGCAGGAGGTACAAACTCAGGTTCTGTGACTCCAAACAAGATGCTTTTAAAATTGTTCTGCATTGCTCTTCTTCTCAGCCCAGTTTAAAGGTGAGGCGTCGTCTGATCCCTTCAAGTAAAATTTGCCAATTCTTCTTTGAGTTGGCCAGAGCCTTTGTACATCTCCATTACAGCATGACATTATACTTGAATGATTTGAATATAGCACCCTTTGAGCTCCTCTGTGATAGGAGCTCTGTGGTTTTATTTGTTTTAATCTCTGTATTCCTGGTAATAAGCAGAATGCCTAGGAAGGTTCTCAGTTGATATATTTTGAACAATTATTAAAATCTGGTCACTGGACTCATCAAGATGGTGCATTTCTTTCTCAGTGTATGGCCTTACGATATCAAAAACAATGCTAACTTTAAACATGATCTTGATTAAAACCACTTAAAAAGACCAAGTTGATAATGAGATATACACTTTTGTTATCTCAGAGCTGTCTTGACATCAGTTACTGAGGACTCGTAAACAGAAACCTCGTTACAGGATATTGAGCAGGTAAAACCCCTGGCCCCTTATTGATAACCACCCTCAAGTGCAAGAGAGGTCAAAGAGGTCAAATAAAACACACCCTGCTTGTCAAGTGTCATAACACAGATGCCATCTGCTTCAACTGTAGCTCTCATCCTGTAATTGAGACTGTGGTTTGGCTCACTGCTGTGGCTTGAGTTTTGTCTGGGGTGATGGTGGCATACAGTGACACTCACCACTAATGGTGACTATTTAGTTGCCTGACATTTATTTCACAGTAACTTATAGTTTTGTGCAGATTAGACCCATTCTCCCAGAATGGAGAATTATGGAATCTATGTTATCATATGTGACATATGGGAGATTGAATACCCAGATAGAAGAAAATGAAGATGCGCTTGAAAGGTAAGGGCTTGGGGTTGAAATAATGCTCTGGAGATAACTTAGGGCATGAATCACAAGAGAGGTGCACCCAAGTTTTGGAAGGAAACATTCCGTTTCATTGTGGCCTTCCCTGGTAAACACTGGAAGCTCATTATAGACTTCCACATCAACTTGCAAAAGACAGAGGGAGAAAGAAGGTACCGACCTTCTTGTTTCACAGATTCAAGAGAAATCTTTCTACCTGTCATCCCACCGTGGATATAAATAGGCACCAAATCTTATTAAGTTGCACTTAACCTTAGTTCCCCAACAGCCCCACCTACCTCCCCAGAGAAGGCTTGTCCGTTGAGGAGGTGCTCTGACCCTTGGCTATCTTCACTCCCAAAGTGTAGCCGGATCTCCTCCAGCCGGTGGCTGTATGTCATGGGCCCTCCTGATATGTTGACCAAGTGCTCCTTGTCCAGGCGCAGGGACACGTGTCTTCCAGTATTGTACATGGTCCCACTGACCTGCAAGGCAATGGGCAACAGGTCAAGCAAGGCTCTTCTCCTTCCATTTCTCACCAAACCTACCACGGTGCTTAGACCTATGCCTTTTGCTTCCTCCTAATGGGAGGACATTAGGTTGAACCCACATGTGGAATGGGGAGCAGCAGGCTCCCCAGAGGGCATTCCTGCACTACCTGGCTTCTATGGTACTTTCTGTGCAGCATAAACCACATTATCATTTAGGAATTTGAGGTAGAAACTCAAAGGAGACCTCACCAACTATGACTAATATTTTGGACATTGCACCTTAGAAAGCATTAACTTGTCTTCTTACCATAAATACTTGGGATGTAGAAATGCTGCAAAAGTTCAAGTCTCAGGTGTGAGAAATTGGAGAAAGCAGTTAGTAGGGGTGAGATGCTACAAAGGCCAAATGAGAGACAAGGAAGCCAAAATGGATGAAGAGGATCAAAACCTAGTGGGAGACTGAAGGCATAGGTCTGCAATCTCAAGTGTCCAGTCCAGTGTGTCTTGGTTAGGTCCCTCTCTCACCTCTGCAACCAGATGTTGCACAGAATGAGAGCTCTGATCCTTCCTTAAAGCTGGTGGCCTCAGTGCGAAGCTAAAGAGATTCATACAAGCTTCCCCTTTTCAAAGATTCCTAGACTTACTCCTCACTCCCAAGTCCAACTTGCTGCAGCCCCTGCAAAAGGCTAGCCTTATTGTTTGTGGTCCTGTTACTCCTTTCCTTTTGGAATTTGATGTTCAGCTTCATTTTCCTATTACCTTAGCACCTCTCAACACTTGGTTCTAGAACACTGATTCTTCCCTTTGACGTTTACTGTCTTAGTCTTCTGGGTTGACTTGGCTCTAGGTGTGATCAAAAGCTTCAGGAAGACTTTGAGTGGGTCTGGATGGAATGTTCTAGGCTATTGGATGCAGAGCTACTTGAATTTTCTTCCTGTGTACTCTGGCTCCTTTGGGCCAGCCCTATGGATTCCTTAAGAGCTTCACATAACTGTTGATACCTTTATAGCACTAGCCTTGCCTGCTCGTCCACTTTTCTTACACTAGTCTTTTAAATGATCCGTTAGTTTAGGTCTGTACAATGCTTACTGTGGCAGAGACAGTGATGCTTGCCAAATACTCCATTGACTCATTATGCTACCATCTTGCCATAAGGTGGAGGCCATGGTGTTGGTCACGGGCTATGAAGGGACATGACAAGTGTCACTTCGAGGCTGAAACCATGAAAAGCTTATGCACGATTCTCCAGTCTCTCTCTTTCCCTGCTGCATCAGCCAAGTGGGTGATGTAGAAATATGTAAATGTGGTGCAGCTACAAGATGAAGCCTATGTCAGCCTGGGTCCCTGGCAGATTATAAAATGGCCAGAACTCCCCCTCCCCACAGCTGCACTCCTTACGTGTGACTCTGTAGCCATTCCCATGAAGATAGGGGTCTATTTCTTCACCCCTTGAATCTAGGCTAGCTTTGTCACTTGCCTTGACCAATCACATGTAGTCGATGTAATATTCTACTTCTGAGAGTCGTAGATCCTTACATGCTTTCTCCCTCCTTCTTGGAAACTTGAGACCTCCATGCAAACAAGCCTGAGCTAGCCTGCTGGAGGCTGACACCATAGTGAGGAGAGCCACCCCAGGAGAAGCCATGCTAGACTGGCCATTCTATGGATCATCCACCAGCTGACTGGCCTGGCCAAATCAGCTTAGGCTGGTCCAGACCAGAAGACAGGCCCACAGACCTGGAGCCTTGGGAGTGAAATAATTGGTTGTTGAAAGTCCCTAAGTTTTGGGGTCGTTTGTTAAGTAGCAAAAGTTAATGGATACACACTATGTCAACCATCTTCTCTCCTGTGATCTGGAACTATCAACAGAGACTCTGGATGGTCTCTGCTGAGTTCTGAACTGGAAAGTCACATGGGGACCAGACAGTCAATCCACTAAGCAGTTGGAGTCAGATCTGAGAGAGAGAAAAGAAAAGCAGACGTGCCAGCAGTGACAGAGGAAACCATGCGGAGAGAGAAAGGGAACTGGAGAGAATAACTGCCCGACCTTCAGAAGCTCTTGGCACCTCCTTATTCCAGTTCCTTCTTGAGACTGAGCTGTACTTTGTCAGATAATTTACCAATAGATTATTCTTTTTTGTAGGTTATCTATTCCTTGCAACCAAATGATCCCTGTCAAGCACCCCATTCCTGTTCTCCAGTCTCAGATAAATACATATTTAGTCAGTATGACATAATGAGAATTTATATACAGGCTTTATGGTTAGAGCAGCTCAAAAAAATAAAAATCATCCAGAACCACTTACCCAATAAGCACCACTAATATTTTAGTATATGTACTCCTCACACTCATAACTCTATATACTCATATTTTAATGAAAATATTTTATGTGTATATAGAGAAATTATTTTTCACATATATGATTCTATATATAAATACATACAATTATATATAATGTATTAATGTAATATTAATATATAGCATAAATATATTACATATTATTTTTACTAACATGAATATTTCTGGTTATTAACTGTTCTTCTGTAATAACACTTTGCAATAACTGTATAATATGCTTCTATAAAAATATATAACTCATTGTTGAATCTTTCCATTCTCTCCATTTTTTCACTATTGTACAAAAATAATGCGATGAGCATCCTTATAAATAATAGTTTTACTAAAACGGGGCTATTTCATTAGGCAAATTCTGGGTGTAATGGTGTACACATCATCACTGTGCTTACTCTCCAGTGCCACATCCATCTGCGGTGGAGAGTACATCCCACAGAGCAGGGCTGGATCTCTCTAATTCTCTTCAAACAACATGAAGAACAGAACCATAGGATTCAATCTGTAACATCCATGGGCACCTATGGTCTGCAAGGCAGCATAAGAGGAGCTGCTCTGAATTCTTATAGGACATGTGCTCTGTCCCACAGCGCAGATATCTTGGGCTTCCCTGCACTTCTAGCGGTGCCTTCATCTCTGTTTCATGTTCCTAAGAAAACTGTTGTCCACTGAATCAAGCCAGTGACAATGTCGTACGCTTGTCTGCATTTTTGCAATACTTAGGAACACACATTGGCAAATATTTGATGGAAGAATCAAGGACTCTTAAATCAAAAGATTCCAAATCTGTCTCTCAGTGACCTTTCAGTGAATTATTTTATTTATTTATTATTATTTTTAATTCTCACCTGAGGACATGCTTAGAGAGAGAGGAAGGTGTGTGTGTGTGTGGGGGGGGGGGGAGACAGAGAGAGAAAGAGAGAGACATCAATCAGTTGCCTTCTGTATGTGCCCCAACTGTGGGTTGAATTTGCAGCCCAGTTATATGATCTGACCGGGAATAAAAGTGGTGACCTTTCGGTGCACAGAACGATGCTCAACCAACTGAACCACTCACTCTGCAGCTTCATTTTCCTTAACTGTGAGGTAGAGATAAGAAAATTTCCCCCATGAAAACAAGGGATAAAAAAGGTATGAGGCATGCAGAAAACAAATGTCAAAATGATAGAAGTAAATCTCGCCTTATCAGTAATTACTTTACATGTAAATGATTCCACTTATATGAGGTAACTAGAGTAGTCAAAATCGTAGAGATAGGGAGTAGAATGGTGGTTGCCAGGGGCTGGAGGTAGGGAAAAATGGGGAGTTATGGCTTAATAGGCTTAAATATTCAGTTTTGCAAGATGAAGAGTTCTGGAGATGGGTGGTTGCACAACAACCTGAATGTACTTAATACCGCTAAAGTGTACACGTAAAAATGGTTAGGATGGTACATTTTATATATGTATTTTATCACCATATAAAACTTGGAAAAAGGTCCCCAATGAGGTTGTGGTGAGAATGAAATAAATAAGACGTGTCATTTTCATTTTCCCCCTTCCCTTAACTTTGACGTGTTGCATGGGTGCCTAGCTGATGTTGAAGGACCCATGCTCATCTCCCATACTTCCCGGAGCCTGGTGGGATCCAGTGCTGCTTGCTGAGAATCACAATGAAGTACTTTAATTGGCTTCTGCATTGTGATGAGTCACTTGTCTCCCATTTAGGATTTTAAAGCTCTAGGCGTGTGAAGCAAACACAAAGCCAGGGTCACCAGGAATAAAACACTGCACCTTCTAGTTCTCAACACCACTTTTAGACCCCTTCTACTTACATGACTCTATATTCATTCATTCATTCATTCATTCATCATTCATTCATTCATTCATCATTCATTCATTCATTCTATTGTCAGAAATTCATACAATATTCAATATATGTGACTATGCACTAGGAGCTGGGAATTGTGTGGAGTAAAACCAGGCATGCTCCCTGCACTCATGGAGCTCACACTCTCCAATACATAGAGACCAGAGTGGGGGAAGGAAGTGATGGGGAATCCATCTGAAATTCCACCACTTGCCTATGTGTTCTTATAATTAGATGCAACACCCCCTTATCCCCACCCTTTCCCCAGACACCAAAATAACATTAATTTGTATTAATCAAAAAAAGCTGTGTAGCTTGGGTATGGTTTGTTGCACTTTAATTTAAAAATAAAGGCTTGACAACATTATGTATGATATCTAACGGTGCATCTGCATTGTAGTAATTAACATTGCAGCAGTGTCATTTCATCTGTGATGCTAATTACTGTGTTTCCAATGAACTATGTTGGTGCACAGCACGTTGAGAAAGTTGTATGATGCAGATCAGGAAACAGAGTGAATGGAGAAGTTGATGCTACAGCAGATCTCCAGGTGGCCTCTGGCTGCCTCCCAGTTCTCCTTTGTGTTGTATTTCAATCCACTGTGAAATGAGGAGAGAGGTGAATGGGATGCCCATTTTACAAACGAGGGAAGTAAGTGTGGATGGTGAATGCTCAGCGACTTTTCCCGGATTACACAGTTGGCACATAGGCAAACCCAGGTCGTCTGATTCTACATCTAATGAGCCTGATATGAGCAAATGCAAGTATCTCAGCTCATTTCAGATGGAAATT